TTTGGGGCCATCCAGGATGCTGGCTACCATAATTCCACTCTCACTATTTTATTTAGATTTGCATTTAAATATGTTCAGCATCACTACTATTCTTTTGCTGAAACTTTCACTATTGTCTTTTTTGTGGCTGGAGTACGTCTTCTAGTAGTTTCTTCTCAAAGAGCTCATGTCAACAGTATTTCCTAAGTTGCATCTTAAAACTCCTTATATCCTTTATACTTGAATGACAGCTTGGCTGGATATAAAAATGTTTTGACTCCCTAATTTGTTTTTTTCACAAGTATATTGGAAAATTTACCCCACTGTTTGGGTACTGAATTTAGCAGTGGAGAAATCTGATGACAACTGGATTTCCTTTTTCTTATAGGAGACTTGATATATATATATTTTTTTTGAGACAGAGTTTCGCTCTTGTTGCCCAGACTGGAGTGCAATGGCGCGATATCGGCTCACCGCAACCTCCGCCTCCTGGATTCAGGCAATTCTCCTGCCTCAGCCTCCCGAGTAGCCGGGACTACAGGCACACGCCACCATGCCCAGCTAATTTTTTGTATTTTTAGTAGAGACGGGGTTTCACCATGTTGACCAGGATGGTCTCGATCTCTTGACCTCGTGATCCACCCGCCTCGGCCTCCCAAAGTGCCGGGATTACAGGCGTAAGCCACCGCGCACGGCCGAGACTTGATATTTTTATCTTGATTTCCCCATGAGTTTTAGTCTAATATTTTATTAGTTAATGTTTTAGTATTATTTTGGGTCATTTTCACCTGTAATATGGTTTCTCTTTTCATCATGTTTATTTACACTTCATTTTGGAAATTCTTCTTGAATATTAAAACTATAGTTTTAGATATACAGCTAAAACCATAATTTTAGATATATCCTCTTAATTTTGATTTCATCTTTAGGGGCTCTGCTTTTTGCATATTGGATCTCTGTTTTCACTTTCATTTCTTCGAATAATTTTCATCTTTTTCTATGTTAAATTTTGTTCTGTTCATTAATTTCTGTATTCTTTGTTCCATAATATACTTTCTGTGGTATTTGTCAGATCTTATGTACCTTGTAGTTGATTTATTTATTTATTTATTTATTAGAGACGGGGTTTCACTGTGTTGCCCAGGCTAGCCCCAACCTTGAACTCCTGGGCTCAAGCAGTACTCCAGACTCAGTTTCCCAAGTAGCTGTGACTACAGGCACATGCCACTGCACCTAGCTGGTTTATCCTTCATTTCTAATGTGATTTTGCCTATTTTCTCTTTCAGTCTTGAAATCTACTAACTCCCATCTATGGTCTCTCTGTTACTTTCTCCTCTTTCCTGAGATCATAATTTTTGCTTGTGGTCTTGGTTTAGAGCTGCAATTACATCATACTTTTAAAAAATTCAGATTGAAATGTTGGGTAATAATTTTCATCTTCTCTGATTTTTTTAGTGGGTTTTTTTTTTTTTTTTT